GCTCTGGGAAAAGATCCACCGATGCGTCATGGCCAAGCCCAACATGTTCCGCGTCGAGAAAGTCGCTAGCCACCAGGGCGACATGGGCATCGACCTCGGGCTCATCGGGCCCATCGCGGAGGAGTTCAATCGTCAGGCTGACGCCCTCGCCACAACGGCGGCACGTACTCATAACCTTCCAGACGACATTGTCGAAGCTGCCAAATCACGACATCGCCAAGCGACCGTGCTTCATGGAGTCGCTGTCGCCATCTACGAGCGTAGACACCGTACACTCCCCCTCCCACACCGCAGGGCTGGGTTCACAGCTGCGGAACTAAACAAAATGGAACCAAATCCCCTGCTGTCTGACCAGGCACCACCCGCGGCTGGACCAGACATCCCACAGAACCCGGACGAGCTCTGGGCCGAGGCCCAACGGGCGATATTCGACGAACAGGAGGACGACCCGTTCGGCTTTGGTGGGGGCCTGGACTTCCTGGGCGACGGGCCAGCCAGCGCCAACCCTGCCCCGTCGGGTACCCGCACGGCGCCCCCGACTCCGCCATTGAGAGCGGCAGCGCACCCACATGACAACGCCGCTCATTTTCAAGACGCTGACGAACAGGAGGATGACCTGTTCAGCTTCGGTGGGGGATCGGACGCTTTGGACGACGGACCAGCCAGCGAAAACCCCGCCCCGTCGGGAAACCTCTCGATCCCTACTGCGACTCCGTCCCCGAGAGCGATATCGCCCACATACGATGATATCGGCCACCGCCAAGACGCCGACCATGACCTGGGTGACCCCCGCGGACTGAGTGGCATGGAGGACGCACCGCCGATACCACACGCTGCCGACCATGCCGCCCTACCGAGACGCCAACCTTCTACGCGACCGACCTCAGAGCCCTTGCACGGCATCACGACTGGTCCCACCGCGCAAACCACTCCGCCCCCCCACCGCCGGCAGCCCGCGGGGGCGGCTTCAGCCCCCCCGCAGGGTACTAAACCAGACAGGCCCTCGTGCCCCATCCACGCTTCCATCGTTGCTGAGCGAGAGGAAGCGGCTCTCCCGACCTCTCGGGGCGTGGCCCTAGCGGCTCCAGCCCTGGGGTCGCGTCGGCCCCTCCAGTCACCCTTCAAGGGTGACGGACGTCAGCGTACAGGGTCCCGCACTACGCTAGTCCACCATTTGGACAGGCGTATCGAGGACCTCGCCTCTGTCTCGAGGCCCTCGGCTGCTGGCACTGAGCAGCCACCCCTCACCGACCGCGAAACCGAGCTGTCACAGGCTATGGCTGCCCTCCAGCAGAGGTGCTTAGCTCTCGCCGCGGACCTCGCCGCCGCCCAAGCTCGTCAAGGCCCTCTACTCCAGCGCCTCCACAGCGCTGGGCGAGCCTTTGCCGAGCTGCTCACGGCCTCGCCCGATGGTGCCGTGCCGTCACTCAACATCCAAGCTATGTTGTCATCGTTCCGCGGCGCTCCACCTGGTGCCCCGCGCTAATCTCCTCCTTTCTGCCTGCCCGTGTGTACGCGTGGCTCCGCGTCCACGGTGTCAGGGCGTGGGGGCGGGGGGTGCCCCGTCACTGCGCGCCGCTTTGCGGCCAAGCGCCCAACTGGCGGTCTGCCAAGCCGCCTAGCCACGTGTCAGCACGTCGCCTTTCTTGTTGGGGCCTTTTTCCTCACGCGGTCTGACAGGTGAGATCATCATCGTCTGTCCGCCGTCTGTAGCGTCTGTCGCACTGCGCCGGGGGAGGGGGTTTTTGTTGCCCGCCCTCGTATCTAAAGGCTGCACCGCCGCAAATAGTGCATGCGAGTTGTCGCACCGCAGTGCGCCTCGCGGACGGACCCTGGTCCGCCTACTTGTCCGATCTCTCTCTCTCTCTCTCTCTCTCTCTCTCTCTCTCTCTCTCTCTCTCTCTCTCTCCTCTCTCTCTCTCTCTCTCTCTCTCTCTCTCTCTCTCTCTCTTCTCCTCTCTCTCTCTCTCTCTCTCTCTCTCTCTCTCTCTCTCTTTCTCTCTCTCTCTCTCTCTCTCTCTCTCTCTCTCTCTCCTCTCTCTCTCTCTCTCTCTCTCTCTCTCTCTCTCTCTCTCTTCTCTCTCTCTCTCTCTCTCTCTCTCTCTCTCTCTCTCTCTCTCTCTCTCTCTCTCTCTCTCTCTCTCTCTCTCTCTCTCTCTCTCTCTCTCTCTCTCTTCTCTCTCTCTCTCTCTCTCTCTCTCTCTCTCTCTCTCTCTCTCTCTCTCTCTCTCTCTCTCTCTCTCTCTCTCTCTCTCTCTCTCTCTCTCTCTCTCTCTCTCTCTCTCCTCTCTCTCTCTCTCTCTCTCTCCTCTCTCTCTCTCTCTCTCTCTCTCCTCTCTCTCTCCTCCCCCCTCTCTCTCTCTCGCTGGCCTCTGAAAAAAAGGCGCCTGTCCAGATTTTCCAGTTTTTCCCATATTTCCCCAGAAAACACATTCTTCAAAAGCGCCGTGCGTGTCCATGTTTTCCATGTTTCCCCAGACACGGACCGTCGAAAAACGATGCGTTCTCAGGTTTTCCACATTTGCAAAGTTTTCCCAGACGCTGACCGTTGAAAAACGCTGCGGTTGCCAAGTTGTCCAGACGCCCCAAATTTCTCCAGGCGCGGACCGTTGAAAAACGCTGCGTCTTTCAAGTTTTGCCCTTCCGTTCGATGGCCCTCCAGGCGCGGCGCGCGGGCCCGTGGTCGCCGAAGCTGCGCCAGCTTGCCTCGGCGCGCTCGCGTGCCCAGAAAAAAGGCGCGCGCCGCGTTGTTCCACGGGGGCGTCGCGCAGCTCGGGATCGTCCGCGGCGACATCTTCGCAGAACGAGCAGACGGCGTCGGCGTCAGTGCCTGGATCGACACCCGCTGCTAGGAATACCCCCTACGCCAGCGACGCCAGGCTGGCGTTGTCGGCGGCTGCCGGCGCGGGCGGGCTCGGCGCCGCCCCCGGCGCACCTGGGCCCATGCTGCCCTGGCCCGATCCGGCCACTGCGCCACGGGCACCGCGGGCCTGACCTCGCGCGGGCGCACCCGCGAGGAGGTGCGCCATTGGGCAGAGTGGACCGCCGAGGCGAGGCTGCCCGGCGACCCCTCAATCGCGCGCCCGAAGCTCCGCAGCGGGCTGCTCTGCGTTCGCGGGGCAGGCCACGTCGCAGCGCTGCGAGAACATGATCAGCAGGATGCTCTACGCGCCAAAGGCGCGCAGCAGGAGGAAGCTGAGGCCGTCGCGGCCAGTCATGAGTTGACCAGCTTGCTGCGCTCGGTTGCGGGGGATGTCGAAACGCGCCAGGAGGTTTTCAATGCGCTCTTGCGGCCGTCGGTTGCAATTCATCAGTGCCGACGCTGGCGGAATGCACTCCCTCTCTCCCAGTTGGCCCCACCTTTCGGCCAAACTGCGCATCAGGAAAATCATCGGTGGCACTGGGTCGCCGTTCCTCCCTGGACCAGGACAGCCGGCGACCATTCGCTCACGCGCTCGCGCGCAATGCCAGCGAGGCGTGACGAGACGCAGGCCGTCCGGCGAAGCTCGTTAAGGACTGAGTTCGCCACTGACCTGATCACCACCTCGCGCGCCCACCTCTGGAAGGGCGCGCGAGCTTGCTGCTCGGCCCCCAGGGGCCGAGGTGACGCACGTCGCCGCTGCCGCCGCACGCATGCCCACTCCGATGACACTCCATCTGGAGTGTAGTTCCCTCCGCACGTCGTAGAGGCGCTGGAGCGGGGGGTCCACCAGCGGCGGCTCGGGCAGGGTGCCGCAGAGCCGCCGCAGAGCCGCCGCAGATACTTTCCCCAAATGTGTTCCTCCTCGTCTGCGTATTGGGTGCATGCTTCCGTTGCGTACTTGCGGTGCTCTCGGTACTCGGCCTCCTCGTGCGTCGCGTTGCCACTGTACTCAAGACTGTCAACTGCACGATCGTCAGGCGGAGTGCGCAGTGGGATCCAGTCCTGCAAGGCTGCAGGAATACGCGGGTAAGATGAGGCCACGTTCCAAGAGATCGAAGACGGGTTCTCCCATATCAATTTCGCTGTCCCTCGGAACGCTGGTATGTAACACAAGTGCCAGGTCCTCCATTGCCTCTGTTGGTCCTATCTACCTGTACCTCCAAAGGTTCTGGCGACACAGTCACCAAGAGTTCGGGACCTTTGACCGACACCGTACATGTCAACGTTGTACTGAGCAAGTGTCCGACATTGTGGTTATGCCCACAGACGGGCGCAACAACAAAAATGCAGGGTCCACGAGCTGCGCCGACACAGTCAACGCAAGCCCGGGGGGGGGCTCTCCAACAGAGCCAGCGCGTGGCCAGGGCACTGGTTGTGCACGTTCCCCGTCACGGTTCCTGGGGGCGGAGGGGCGGCTGGCCCGAAGGTGAGCAGGTAGAAGTGCGCGAACGCGATGAAGGCGGACGACCAACGTGGTGGACAGCTGGTTGTACGAACGCGGTCATGAAGGCGATGGAGAGCTGGAGCCTGTGCCATCGATGCGAAGCGAAAGCGAGAAGCCATTGGGGCCGTGGTATTTTGACTGATGCCTTGCTATCAGCTAGAAAAATGGACACAAAGTGTGAATATGAAAGCGGACCGTTTTTGGTGGACGGAAGGACGGAATGTAAACGGCGAGCGCGAGAATACACTGGGAAAGGTGCACGAATCAGGCCTTGAGCCAGGACAACGGCGGGCCCAGGCAAGGAAGGGGTGAAATGGTCAGAGCGGGCACCGTTCGAGCAGTGGGAGGAGGAGGAGGAGGAGGAGGAGGAGGAGGAGGAGGAGGAGGAGGGGAAAAAGGAGGAGGAAGAGGAGGACGACGACGGCGGCCAGGAGCAAGAGCAAGAGAACAAGAGCAGAAGGAGGAGGAGGACGACAACGACGACTGCATGGCGGGGAGGAGGAGAAGGAGCAGGGGAGGAAGATGAGGAGGAAGAGAAAGTCAAGGAGCGGGAGCAGCAGAAGCAGGAGGAGCGAGAAGCAGGAGGAGGAGTGTCCCTCCTCAGCCGCTCTCTCCGCGCCCTCCCGGAAGTGTCCTTGTCCCGTCCGTGTCCACCAAGGAGGCCGCATACACCTCCTGGGGCAACGGGCGTCCGCGAATGACGAAGTGGGAAATGGATAGTGTGGAGGGGGAAGGGCGGGAGAGGAAGGCGGAGGGAACACGGGGCGGAAGAGGACATGGGGGGGAATAGAAGGAGTGGGGAGGGAGAGAGGGACAGAGGGAGGACAGGGAGGAGCGAGGAACGAGGACGGAGAAGGAAGAAGGCCGCAGTAAAGAGGGCGGAGGGAACAAAGGACATCCCAACCCCTCCACACTCCCCCTCCCATCTCCCATTCCCCTCCTGCTCAACCCATACCTCCAACTGCCCTGCGTATGACCCCCAGCCCCCCCTCCAAAACCCCTCCCCCACCTCCCTCTCTGATTGGCCCTCTCCATCTTCACCTCCCTCCCACTCTCCCCTTCCCTGCCCCTCTCCCCTTCCATCCCTCTCTTCCCCATCCTAACCCACCCCGCCTCCCCGACAATCTCTCCCTCCTCCTCCTCCTCCTCCTCCTCCTCCGCCTTCTCATCCACCTCCTCCTTCTCCTCCTTGCCCTCCTCATAATCACTATCAGCATCATCATCATCATCATCATCATCAGCATCATCATCAGCATGGTCATTATGATCATCATGATCATCATCATCACCACCATCATCATCACCATCATCAGCATCAGCAGCATCTTCATCAGCAGCAGCATCAGCATCATCCTCATCATCAGCATCCTCATCATCAGAATCATAAACAGTATCAGCATCACCATCAGCAGCATCATTATCAGCATCAGCATCAGCATCATCAGCATCAGCATCATTGCCAGCATCATCACCAGCATCATCATCACCATCATGATCACCAGCATCATCAGCATCATCAGCAGCATCATCAGCATCATCAGCATCACCACCATCAACAACAGCAGCAGTATCATCAGCAGCATCATCATAATCAGCATCAGCATCACCATCATCACCATCATCATCATCATCACCATCAAAACAGCAATACTAACAAAATCATCATCAGCATCAGCATCATCACCGTCACCGCCACCGTCGTCGTCATCGTCATCATCATCACCTCCAACACAACCACCATCATCCCCATCAGCATCGTCATCATCATGAGCATTACCATCAACATCAGCATCACTCTCGGCATCATCGTCGGCAACGCCATCACCCTTATCATCATCCATCATCACCACCACCAACCTTATCATCAACATTGCCATCGTCATCACCATAATAATCATTCAAAACACCAGCATCATCATCAGCAGCATCATCACTAACCACCACACTCACCATCACCATCACCATCGTCATCAACTTCATCACCAACACCAACATCAACATCATCATAGTTAGCTTCCTCGTCGTCGTCGTCATCATGATCACCATAAGCAACAACATCGTCGTCGTGATCGTCATCCTCCTCCTCGTCGTCATTCCCGTCAGCGACATCATCATCAACCTCATCAGCATCCTCATCATCATCAGCAGCAGCATCAGCATCACCATAATCATCATCATCGTCGTCCTCATGTGTATCAATTGTCCTCGTCTTCATGTGCCCCAATCCTCCTCCTGATCCTCCTCCTCCTCGTCCTCCGCATCCGCCTGACCCTAACCTAAAAACCTCTGTCGGCACCGCGCTGCGAGCCACGAGGCTGGGAGGCCATCCTCGCGGGTCTTCTCGCACATCCGCAAGTCCATCTTCTGTTGGACGTTCGGGTCCTGCAGAAAGCAGAGACCAGGCGGTAAGAGGAGTAGGAGGAAGAAGAGCTTGGGACGGAGGAGGAGAGGGAGAGTTGAAGAAGAGATAGAAGGATGAGGACAACGGCGACGATGACAGACTGTCTAGGCACAGCCAATTTTCAACCAAAAAACAACTATTTGATCGAGTGCCATTGTATGCAAACACGTGTGTACCCATATTTACAAATCTTTATATCTGAATAAATTAGAGATGTGCGTGCGTACTAGAACCATCACGCGCGCGCTTCGCGCGAGCTCAAATCCTAGTCGGTCCTCACGCCCATGGACACTCGGAGTCCAATCGCGTCCTCTTCGTTTCTCGAGCTGCCTCGGAGCTGTCTTGCAGGCCTCAGGATTTGCATGGGCTCCTCAGCCTTGGAATGAATCTACATGAGCACCTCGGCCTTAGAATTTACATGAATACGCGAATCTCATATTGTAGACGGGCACCTCGGACTCAGGAAAATGCATGGGTACCTAGATTTCAGAATTTACATGGGAACCTCGGCCGTAGAATTTACATGGGCGCTGCGGCGACCTGGGGGGCGGAGGGCGGAGGCAAAGAAACACACAAGATCTTATATTTTATCGCTTCGCTCATTCCGCCGGCCCTGGAGCGCTCTTTGGGGCCTCTTGGGGCTCCTTGGCGGCGTCTTGGGGGCCCCTGGGGCCTCTTGGGGGGTCCTTGGGGGCCTCTTGGGGCGAGAAGGGGAGGCAGTCGATTGCGGCTCCCCCCTCGGAGGCCACGATCCTCGTGAGGGGAGGGGTGTCGAAAAATGGCCCTCCCCTGGGGCGTTCTGGGGGGATATCGCCTGGGAGCAGCCTGGGAGTGGACCGGGACCTGGCCGGGGTACTTCTCGTCCAGGGTCCCCCAGGGGCCGCCCCGCGCTCGCGAACTAGAACTATTGTTAATCAGTTGCCGGAGATCTTAGCACGCCTCTGGCCCGTTGGGCCGGCGAATTATCCTCCTCCCTCCTCCACCCCTTCCTCTTCCACCTCCGCCACCCTCCTCCTCATCCTCCTCCTGTCCCTCCTCCACCCCCCAGATTTGGCAGATCAGGAGTCATGATGCATTGCATGGAGTGTTGCAAAACAACTATTCGTGCAGGCGCTCATTCAATGGGTATGGGGTGTTGAGTGCGGTGGACCGGTGGCGGAGGGGTGCTGATGGAGTCCGTGAGGCGTTGGCGCACGTAGAGGATCAGGCAGTGCATGCCCCAAGGCTGTACAACGCTGCCAATGCAACCTCCGAGTCGTCCAGCAAACGTTGTAAACGGCTCTCGTCCCTCCTCCCTCCGCGTACTCCTCCTCCTCCTTCTCCTCCTCCTCCTCCTCCTCCTCCTCCTCCTCCTCCTCCTCCTCCTCCCCGTAGTCATCCCTGTCCTCCTCCTCCTCCTTCTCCTCCTCCTCCTCCTCCGCAGCCATTTTTGGCTCAAAGCAGCGGTGTCTTCCCCGCTGGTGCGCGGCGCGCCGCCCCCGTGCGGCCCTCTTTCCCCAGTCTCGCAATCGCGACATGGCGGCTGGGGGCGATGGCCACGGCCTCTGCAAGCTCCTTACGGAGCTTCTGGTGGCGCAGGCAGCCTTCGGTGCAGAACACGCGTGCTTTGGGGCAGGCCTCTCGGCAAAGGCCACGAGTAGGGTGGTGGCAGTGGTGGCGCGCGGGACGCTGCAGGGCCCGAGTGCGGGCGAAGACGGTGGAGGCAGTGCTGTGCTCGCAGTCGGGGCGCTCGACGGAAAGCAGCACATCCTGTCCGACGTGGAGGTCCTGGAGGTGTCCGAGGCGAAGGCACGCCTTCGCGAGGTTGGCCTTGCGGACCTCGCGAGCCGCCTGGGCAAGCACTCCAAGGTGCGCGATGGGGTCGCCCACCGCAACGTCAGCCTGCAGGGCGACATCGAGGCGTCGATCAAGGACACAGACAGGTGGCCTCCCGTGTCGGCGAGACCAAGCAGGAGGGCAAGACCACCACTGTGAAGGATGTGCAGAAGCAGCACGAGTCCAAGCTCCAGGCACTCGAGGCCCAGATCTCGAGCTACGAGGCGGACAAGCAGCGGCTCGAGCAGCGCGTAGTGCAGTGAACGAAGCTTGAGAAGGACTACCAGCTGAAGGAGAACGACTGGAAGGACCACCAACAGAAGATAAGGACATTGGACATTGGCGTAGCTGATGGAGACGGTGCGGCTCCAGGGGGTCAAGATCCAGCAGTACCAGAAGGAGGCCACCGCCGCGCGGGACGAGAAGGATTCGCTCAAGTTCACGGTCCAGGAGATCGGCACCATCATGACCCATGCACCATCTGTCAGCGGCATGAAGGACGTCGACGATGGCATGCCCGTTCTGGGCCGAGCGCTTGTACTCACCAAGAGCAACAGTGGCAAGACGTGATTCGCGAACCCCCAGGGCGGCTCATCTCAGCCTGTCCGCTGTCGGGCTGAGCGCCTTGAGGTTGGCAGCAGTGCTCATCGTGGCGTTGCGACGCCTTGCGAGCGGGGATGAAGCCCCCTGGTCTCACGATCCCGTGGCTCAACATCGTCCCCTCGGCGGTTCACCATGACAGCAGTCGCCATGCGCCGTGCGGAGTTTGTCCGTGCTCAATGCGGCGGCTTCGGTTCCCATTGCCAGCTGCGCTGAATAGAGGCGGAACCTGCCCAGGCGACGCGGCCTCTCAAGGACCAGACCAGTTCGAAGCTCCCTGCTGGTCAACTATGCCTGGGGGACAGACACTGTGTGGCAAATCATATTATCGATATTCGTCGCTGTCGCCATCTTTCGGCGGCGAGCCCGCGGGGGAAGTGAGAAGAGGTGAACCCGAGGTCGGTCGCGCTAGGGCTCCCGCCCCCGCGCGCGGCGGCTCGCCATGTGGCAGGATCTGCGGCTCGCAGGACTTCTGATCTGATCCTCCACCTCCACCTCCACCTCCTCCTCCTCATCCTCGCCCCCCTCCTCATCATCATCCATATCCTCATCCTCACCCGCATCCTCATTTTACGGAGGGCGGGCTTCAAGTGCTATGCTTGTAGCGTCCTCGCTGGAAAAAAGGGTGTAGCGCTTCGACTTAGAACTGGCGGCAACAAATGCAGGCTGTGAGTCAGCGCGGAAATACGTGAAGCGAATACAATTGGGGAAAGCAGGAGCGCCCGTGAGGGCGCGGAGTGGCTGAGCGAGCAGCCCGTGGCCTGCCTCCTCCTCCTGCTCCTGCTCCTCCTCCTCCACCTCACCACCACCACCACCACCACCATCATCATCATCATCATCATCATCATCATCATCATCATCATCAGCATCATCATCATCATCATCAGCATCCGCATCAGCATCATCATCATCAGAATCGTCATCATCATGATCATGATCATGATCATGATCAACATCACCATCACCATCACCATCACCATCACCAGCATCATCATCATCACCATCATCATCATCACCATCAGCATCATCATCATCATCGCCCACATCATCATCAGCATCAGCATCAGCATCATCAGCATCATCGTCCTTATCATCATCAACATTATCATCCTCATCATCATCGTCATCGTCATCCTCATGCTCGTCGACTCGTCGTCATCATCATCATTACCATCCGCATCAGCATCAGCATCATCAGCATCATCAACACCATCATCATAAGCATCATCATCGTCATTGGCATCGTCATCGTCTTCGTCATGCTCGTCGTCGTCACCATCATCCTTGTCATCAGCATCAGCACCAGCATCAGCAACATCAGCATCATCATCACCATCATCATCGTCAGCATCCTCTTCATCACAATCATCAGCACCGCCACCATCAGCAGCACCAACATCACCATCAACACGCGCATCAACATCATCAACATCAGCAGCATCGTCATCAGCCTCATCATTGTGATCAGCATCATCCTCACCGTCACCATGACCATCGTCGTCGCCATCATCATCATCATCATCATCATCACCATCATCATCATCATCAATAGCAATGTCATCTCCAGAATCAACAGCCTCATTACCAGCAGCAGCATCAGCATCATCAGCATCAGCAGCATCATCAGCATCAGCAGCGTCATCATTATCGTCATAAGCATCAGCACCAGCACCATCAGCAGCAACATCAAAGTCATTATTCTTGTCATCAGCAGCGACACAATCATCATCACCATCATCACGATAATCAACAAAAGCAGATGCATCCCCATTTTCATCATCAGCAGCATCCTCACCATCAACATCATCATCATCACCATCGTCATCGTCGTCGGTATCATCGTCATCATCATCGCCATCATCGTCATCATCCTAATCATCATTGCTACAACTTCCGTTCGGGGGCCAGACGACGACGCAGGCACTTCTGATCTACAATGTCGCCACCGACCGGTGCGAATGGGGAGGGGCCCAACCTGAACAGTCGAGACTCAACCAACACACGTGTGTGGCTACGGCCATACTCACTGCTCCAGGTGGGTATATGACTATTTTACCGCGTCCGACCTTGAGACTCCAAGGTCGATCTATAGTGCGGGGTCGAACTATAATGCGGGGGCTATACTTTTCTGCGGGTCGATCTATAGTTCGGGCGCGCCGAAAATAGTTCGACCCGCCGTTTTGGGGCAAACGGGGCTTCAGCGCCCATGCTCGCGCTCGCCCCACTGGGAGGGGTCCAACATATATTTGAGCCGACAGCAACGAATGACAACGATACACACAGAAGCGTTCTTTTCAATGCATGCGCACAATCGGCTGGCCGCAGAACTTAGAGATGCATGCCGCTGAAAACGCTCTCATGGACCTCCTTTGGCCCCTCCTTCGGCCAAATGCAGCTACAGATCCACCGAAATCCTCATCCCTATAGTTCCAGTGCTTCGCTGGTTCACCGCCGCCCATGCACAGCTCCAGAAACATGTGCATTTTAGGCTTCACTTTAAAATGGGCAGGAAGCGCGTCTTGCAAAGCGGCCGTCTGCGTGGCAAACTTACTTGAATGCTCTCTAA